AGAGACAACGTCCACATCATAACCTCGATCCTCGCACAGCTACAGGAATTCCAAAGACAAAACCGCCCAGTTGCCTTACACTGGATTCCCAGTCATGTAGGGATCTGAGGAAACGACGTGGCAGACGAAGCAGCCAAGGCAGCTACACGTTCTAGTAGCGTACACATTCAAGTTCCAGCAAGCGTGCAACAGATCAAGAATCACCTCAGAAATACTAACAAGCTCCACATCAAAAAGAGCTTCCTTCAGGCATTCAAACTGGTTCCCAATCAGCCAAATGGTACCTGGCGGCTACAAAAGGGGAACCACCTTTCGCGGACAAGAAAACACCAAGACAAACCCAAGTCAGCCTTCATCGACTACGACTAGGGTACAGTGCTCCTGGCATATGATCGGAAATGACGTCATGGAATGCACCTACTGTCAGGAGCCAGCAGCCAACCCACTTGAACACTATCTCCTCGACTGCAAAGTCACACAAAGCCTCCGAAACAGAACTCAAATCTCCCAAGAAGCACACACAACACCAGCGGCCACTCTAACCCGAAAGGCCCGAACAAACCCCTTCTCCGGGTCATCACACGATACCCACCACCCAGATAGCTTAGAAAGTATCCTCTCCCAGCAAGTGCGGACCCCAGTTCGGGGGGCCCGCCACTCAGAAACTGACCACGTCCAAGAGTGGGGGTTGGTGGTAAGCGTCCATTGATCGGGGGTCCTCTCACACTTGCAACCTGCAGTATCCTTCCAAATCTGCAGGTAGGACCACCTCCAATCCCAATCCGGTCTGGCTGCTCCAGGAGCTCCAGCCGGAACCACCAAACGAGCCGCCTATAGGCAAAAGCCCGTGTCGTACTACGGTCCGACAATCTCAACAACAACAACAACATGCACCTCCCACCACCCACAACATGGATATTACGATACCTCTACAGTATGCCTTGCTATGTGTGCGTTTATAGTTCTGAAGTTCTGATTCTGGTGCTGATGTAATAATGACTTGACGAAAACAACGTGAAGAGTGAAGACGATCGAGAAATAGTGGTAAACAACTTAACTGTGTCGCCGTCACTTTGTGGAGGCAGGACTCAGTTATCAGGAATTCCTTGTCCAAACTCCAACTATGTTTTAATAAAAGTTCAATACAAGTAAGCCCATTTTTTATATCTTGGATTACTTCACTTCTTAATCATTGGAATCTATGCTAAAATTATTGTCTTGGAATTAAACTAAGAGATAAGGGAAGATATGCAGCCTCATATGTTCTTTGAGCAGAATGGTGCACCGCAGCACTGGAGCTTATACTGTAAGTGCGCGATTTCCTCAATGAAAACTTCCCTCATAGGATCGGGCGTGATGGTCCCATTCCGTGTCCTCCTCTTTCCCCAGACATCACGCCTATTGATTTATTTTTATGGGGCTACATCAAGGACAAGGTGTATGCGAAAAAGGTTAATAATAACACAGAGTTAACACACCGGATTGAAGAGGCACTGGCTTCCATACACTGGACATGTTTCATAACACCTGGAATGGAATCAACTGCCGTCTTGATATTCTACGCGCTACCAAAGGTGAAGGTTTACTGAAGTGCAGTTATGTGTACCAAATACATATGTCAAAGATTACCTGAGTTGCTTTATTAATTGCCGCAAACTATTTTATTGGGCTTCGGAATCAGGTGAATAAATTATAGACATCCTGGATGTTTCAATGCCGTGTAATGCCGTGTAATAATGTAACAAACGGTTCATTTTCCAAATGAATTGTTTTGATAAAAATAAGAAATATAACCGATACAACTTTTCCTCAAATTTTAAACTTATTTTTTTCTCTATATACAGTACGATCATAAATAACCTGTAGTGAGCACGTCTACGTACTTTGTAGACAAAGATTTTTTTTTACCGTAAAAATTACATCAAGAATTCTCCCGTGACGACACTTGTTATCGTCCAATCTTAACATTTGTGGTTCAAGTCTTTGTAAACATTAAAAGTAACAACAGAGGCTCTCATCAGGGGTTTTATTATCATAAAAATTGGCTTGATTTTCTTTTGTTTTCAATGTTATAGGCTTCACTTTCCTGGTTTTCTTGTTTATGGCCTGTGCGAATTCCCCTTTTTTTCTTTTCGCGCAATTGGTTCTTGAATCTGTGAGATTCACATAGTTGGATTCGAATCTCATATTATGGGTTTGGATATATTTCCAATTTCGAGTAGCATTGGATTCTAAGTGAAATATATGTTCGTATACTTGTTCTTTTTCTTCAAGGAGGACTGAAGAAGATAGCCATCATGTTTTTCAATCGCGTTGTTATCGCGTCGTGTTCGGTAACGTATCACAAGTTATCTGTACGTGTGCACTGTCTCCAAGAGTTCAGCTGTCAACATGGACTAGTTGGCACGACGTGCAGGTGTTCTAAATGCGGCAAAGAATTGACAGTGAAGAAAAATGTGCGTTTCATTTTAACAACTGCTCGCAGTCTTACGTCCCCAGTGAGGAAGTCAGGTAAGTTTAGGTTGGCTAGGTCAGGTTATGTTAGGTTCTGTGCATTGTCACTTTCATTTTCGTGTTAAGTATCATGCAAATAGTAACTCCATAAATTTTGGTATAATTCCATAAAGTCTTTCGGGTGTTAACCGTCTCCTTTATCTTTACCAATTTAACCAAAAAATAATCTAGGATTGTTATGTTTTGGCTTAGGTTGGGTATGGTTTGGTTTGGGCTCATGGTAGGTCAGATTAGGTTTTGGAGAAGGTAAGGTTAGGCTAGGTTTTGGCTCAGGTTAAGTTAGGTGCGTTGGTTGGGTCATGGGGTCTTCTTTATAAATGGATATCACACCGGTGTTATTCTTCATGTTTTCATCGGATATCCATTTTAATTATCCAAACAAGCGCGCAGGTAGAAAAATCTTTCATAGAATACCAATATAAAACGGCAGAATTAAAGTACCGTAACATTTATCCCGTCTCAGTCAGTTCAAATCATCACAGTGGTCAAGTCAGGCCCCACATTATTAAATTTAGGTCCCCACAAAGGTCAGCTCAGGGCCCGATAGTGGTCAGCTCAGGGCCCGACAGTGGCCAGCCCAGGTCCCGACAGTGGGCAAAACAAGGCATCACAGTGGTCAGTTCAGGTCATCACAGTGGTCAGTTCAGGTCATCACAGCGATCAGGTCAGGTTCCCACAGTCGTCAGTTCAGGTCCCCACAGTCGTCAGTTCAGGTCCTCAAAGTGGCTGGGTCAAGTCCCCACATAGGCAGATGAGGTCCTCAGAGTGGTCAAATCCTCACATCAGTAGATTCTGAAACTCTCGTCACCTGTTTTGCAGCACTGTTATTAACATTAGTGTCCGATGCTCATAGTTTTTTCATGATGTCCACGGCATTATATCCTATATAAACTTTCACTGTGAGATAGTTTAGTAAATACTGTCTGTCAGTATTACAGTATGTGTCAATTCTGAAACTGAGATACAAGCTCTGGTTATTTTGTTTACTCGTAATTTTTGCGCTGCCGACCACAGGATGCTCAATAAGCTACCTGCCCATTTTAGGTTTTTAGGATACTAGATGATAGCTGGTCTTCTGCACTAACATGAAAACGCCCTAGAACCATCATTAAACGTATTGGGTGACCGACAGTTACGGAAAATGTAAACACAAATCTGGTCCAAGTGAAATACTGTACAGAAGCACCTGATTTCCTATGGTTCATTTACTTTTTGAGAAATATTGGCGACTTCTTGCTCTGCACGTGACCGAAAATTAAGGCTTCAAAAGTCGGTGGAGAGCCCTTCCTGTTTATCCTTTTGTTTGTATTACCCTCACTGTCGAGGTAATTGGATATTGTATACATTGAAATATTACACGGCCGTTAGCAGAGGCGGGAAGTATGACTGCAAACAACTTCATAATTCCCGACTTTGCTAACGGCTCGAGAGGCCCAACTCCCCAGTCTGTGGCACTCATCCAAGTTTTAGGAACCGTGTAATATTTCAGTGTGATTCTGATCTTTTAAAATGTTAGTTTTTGCATGATGTAGTACACCTTTTCACTTATCCGTTGAGACATTGTTACATAAGTATTTGACAAATTTCATAACCGAATGACAGAACACATATCGAATGACAATCTAAAATAACTGTTGGTGGTTTGTCATTCTCCAATTGTTACATTCTCAAACTATATGTAGACTGTCGGTTTATTGTTCACGTCTGTCAACTTCATAACTTATGTCAATCACTTCCATTAGCATGAACGAACAGTTATTTTAGATTGTCATTCGATATGTGTTCTGTCATTCGGTTATGAAATTTGTCAAATAGTTATGTAACAATGTCTCAACGGATATGTGAAAAGGTGTTTTACTGATACGTAATTTGTCTTCGTATGCCTTATTGTGGGTAAAAATAAGTATAAATTAAATGCGTCCTCCGAAAGCGTAAATTTGCTACCAGAGTTTAACAGTTAATTCCTGTATAAGATACATGAATGCCTGGGAAGGATTTCATCTACCTACCAAGAGTAGAGTGTGAGACGGGTACCTATTGTGTGTACCTTGGTGCGAAGAATGAGCTGCCGTACCTGTATGTACTGTATTGAGTGTATTCAGGTGATATCGAGTATTTTGGTGCTATTGAGCATTTTGGGATGATATTGGGGAAGGAATGACCTACACTGTTAGAAAATTCAGTATTTTTTACATGTTTCTTCTGTATTTCCGACCAGGTGGAGTGGTACCGCTCTTGCCTCGCAAGCAAGATGTCACGGGTTCGATTCCCGGGCCGGCGGAAGTTGTTTGGACACTCTTCCTAGTCCCCTTGGTCCCTGTTCACATAGCAGTAATGTAGGTACTTGCTGTAAATCGAAAGTTGCAAATTCGTATTCAGGACAAGTTGTTGGAGCTTCCAATAACTTCCAACAATCTGTTAATTCAACAGATATTTTATGTAAAAATATATACAGAATCTCTGTAAATTATACAGAAAATGTTTGGCAACAATATAACCAGAGAATTTTATGTAAATTTTACAAGATTTTTTTAACAGTGTAGGTAAGGAGGTCAATGATTTTGAATGGAGAGAGAAGACCTTAATTAATTATTTGGAGAAGGTCCTATATTTTTATGTGATGCAGTGACCTTAATAATTGCTTGGGAAAGGTCAACTATTTTTGTATTTTGACTGAATGCAATATTTTGTTATTAGGAAATAAAGTAGGTTAATTCTTGGTTGGTGATTCACCCTTCCTTCCACTCTCAACTTGATTAATGAAAAACACGAACTCACAGTACCTGGATTGCTCTGCCAACTACCTAGAAAAAAAAACACTACACATACTCTCCTAAGGTCTGGTGGCAGCGACTTTAAGTTAATATGTCCTGTGGTCTGGTGGCAGCGACTTTAAGTTAAAAAGTAAGTTAAGTACCTCGAGATTTAAGTGATCACACTTTAGGGCAATCAGCTGTAACTCTTGAAGGGGCGGGGCATCTCTTCTCAGATGGGAAAAACGCTCTATAGCTGTTCGGGTGTAGCCCAGCTTGTTAACTGGATTTAATGTTATGGGGCAGTTTATATGTAATTTTACGATTATCTACTGTATTCTGCTTTTGTATGGTCTCTTAAATTGCATTAACACTAATGAGATCGTAAAACTGGGAAGACTGGGAAAAAAATAATTTATAAGGATTTACAGGCTACAGGTTACTGCATAATGTAGTAACCGCCACTTGTCTAGTACATATGGACGTAAAACGATGATGAAACGTGAAGAAACTGAGGTGCCGGTAGTATAGCAGCAGCAGATCGCTTGCCATTCACTACTGTGACTCTAGTTCAATCTCCCCTCTGGTGGGACAAGAGAAGCATGTTATCTAGCGACACTAAACGAACATGGTAGGTTTTCTCCGGGTTATGTATTGTGTTCTGGCTTCCTCCTGTACTAACACTGGGCCCATTGGACCCTCATGGAATTAAGCATCTGATGGCTTTGTCGGCTGTCCTTGGTCAAATTGCCAAACTGTTTACCATTGTGTACATCCCAGCACTGTCTAGCTACACCGGAAATTGTATACCTGCACGGTCTACGCCCAAGGTCTTCCTGTGTTGTGTATATGCACGCTGAACTGTATACCTGAATAGTTTACTGTATATTCATGTCAACCCAATTGTAAACTTGTATGACGATTTTACAAGTAACCAGTACAGTATAAGTAAATAGATCAACCCAAAAATATCTGATTAGATATAAATTATAATCGAGACAATTTCTAGATGATTTGTGCAAATCGTCGATAATTAACATTTTCAGTCTCGGGTTAGTTTGTATATTAATTAAGAAAGTTTATAATACATCCTATCTTATGTACAGAAAGTGAAATCAACAAGCCAAAAATAACAACAAAGGTGTAATGTATATCCTCTTCCATTCAAATATTCCCCCCCAATCATTAAACAATAAAAAAAAAAATTCACCCTGGCACTATAACATCCAACACAATTTCCATCACATTTCCTTTTGTTATCACTTACACTTTCACCGACTCTACTTTTTCAATTATTCTTTTAATACTGTATTGTTATTTACATGATTGTAATCTTGAGCACATTTAAAGTAAGCATCGGGCATATACTCGTAGAGCTTAAAATCTTTCTCGTATTTTTGGTAGAGATTTTGTAAAAGTTTGACAGAGATTTGGTTGAAATAGGAGCAAGCCACTTCGCTTGTACTGGACCCATAGGTCGGGTTCTCCCAGCGAGGCTTGATGTCGGAAGTACGGTTAAGGTAGTCCAAGAACAGCTTCCCTTCTTCTTTCAGGGATTCAAACCTGCAGGTAGAGTATATCTGGATTACACTAGAGTTGTTGAGATGCCTTACACCTGTTCAAGGACGTAAGTACACTGCAGCTAAGAGTTGCATTAAACCTGTTCAAAGACTTTACAGTCCAGTTATTAAGACTGATTTAGGTGTTATTGCACGTGTCCTAAGTCCTAAGTACAATACAATTGCTGAGACTAATTTAGGATTTATTACACCTATTCACAGTTGCTAAGGCTAATCTGGGAAGCAATTCCTCCTGTTTAAAGACTTACGACCACACTTGATGATAGCCACCGAACACCTACCCCTGTATTTGTCGACTGGTCGGCCAGTTCTCTGTTGAGGACTTTTGGCAGGCAGTAGTCATGTACAAGTCCATAAGTGTACCTGAACATGTGCCAGTGTTGGTCTAGCCCGGTCATGTTAAGTATCTTATCTTCAATGATTCATATACACATAGAAAAGACAACAGTTTAAGTAAAATTCTCAAGATTTTACAGAATCTCAAATGTATCTGTATAATAGACAACTCGTATCTACGTCACTTTCATCTTAAGACAACTCGTATCTACGTCACTTTCATCTTAAGACAACCTATTATATCTACGTTACTTTCATCTTAAGACAACTCGTATCTACGTCACTTTCATCTTAAGACAACCTATTATATCTACGTTACTTTCATCTTAAGACAACCTATATCTACGTCACTTTCATCTTAAGATAACTTATATTTACTTAACTTTCACCTTAGTTCATAGCGTAGTTACTGTGACCTCACCTTAAAATAAATTCGTAAGGGACATAGCAGGGGGAACAGTGAGCGTTGTACGTCCGCCAGTGCTCATCGTCGTAGTGGGCGTAGATGATATACTGCACGAACTCCGAGAAGGTGGGGCCGACGGGATTAGCGTAGGGGTTATCCTTCAACACCACCGGCAGATTCTTCTTGATCTTGTTCCTCACTTGGCCCTCCATTAACTTGAGCTACAGATTGAGTAAACGGTGTGAGGATGTGTGTGGCCTACGTTAATGTTACATTGCTAATACTGCGCTTCAAAAACTATAATCCTTAAGCGCGTAACAAAGTTGGTAATTACACTAGTCCATCAACAATTAAAAATTTTAAGATATAGAACTCTATGATGTGGCCTACGTGGAGCAGCCGGGGAACAACCTCAGGCAAATAGTTGAAGATTCTTGTATTATGTCTACTGCAATGTCTATTTCAGATAAATGAATCCGCCACACTCCAAAAACTCAATCTATACACCAAAATCATCCTTCTAGCATGCTCCAATCAGAAGTTATCTCCATTTTATTATTTCACCCATATCGGGCGGCAGCTATCTTCTATTTATGCAAATTCTTTGCGTTGCCCAAAGTTTCCTAGCAGGCATCTGATTGATTCCGCATATAGGACCCCTATGGTTCATGAATCCTTCAAAAACCTTACAGTACCAACAATTTCCGGGTTCACGTTAGGATTGTAAATGTTGGCTCCTGGGCTATACAGTAAAACCTCCATCTTAATGATTTTATGCATTAGATCGAGGTTTCATTGTACATAAATCAGAATTTCAACAAGATATATGTTTATAGCACGTATTCGCTTGGAACTCTGCTTCACCCTTATTGGTCGAAGGATACCAGGAACTCGTTCATGATTGGTGGAATTTTACCACCAGTCTTGTTGTCTTCCTGCCACCCACACCTATTAAGTTACAAGCAAAATTACCTGGCTTCGCTTGGGTTAACCATATGCTTTATAACGTTGACTGTTATACTGTGGTGATATCTCAGTCGGAGAACATTTTAGGTTCTTGCCTGGATCAATAGTAATACCAAGGTGCACAACCTTGGGACCCATGTATTGTGTGTAGAATTTCAGGTCTCTAACTACTTCCGTTTTGAAGTTATGGCTGGAAGACACTCACGAACGGACACGTCCTTCTATTATTATACATAGAAGATGATAAAGTAGAAAATGTACTGAGCTTCACGTGTCAGACAAACTTGGGATCCGAAACTAACCTAAAGTAAGGCGTCAAGATTATACTGTCAGGATCCCCAGAGTCCTAATAGGCCCCACAATAGGTTCCAGTCCTAAGAGGCCCTACAATAGGCTCCATTCCTAAGAGGCCTTACAATAGGCCCCAGTCCTAATAGGCCCTACAATGGGCTCCAGTCATAAGTGGCCCTACAATACGCTTCAGCATTAACATAACCATAAGATGGTACCCTAACAAGACTGGAATCTACTTTGATTTGGATTATAGCATCTTCAGTGTATAGTTCTATGGCTGTAATTCTCCTGGGCATAAGTAGTCCTGCTCGCAGAGGCCTTTGTAAGATTAGTAATGTTTTCTTGCAACTTAACTCTACAGTGCTTAAGGGATAACTCACAATTTGGTTATTTTACAAGGTTTTAATAAAGTATCTATACGCTCTAGCTTGAACTTACCTAATTACTCACTATACAGTAGATGTGACACTTCCACGAGTGTGTATAGTAAGTGGCAACAGTAAAACGATTCTGGTTAGATTTCCTTCAGTGAAGGTCCAGAAAAGATACTTATTAGTTCGACCAATCACCTTCGACTAGGAACGTATAGTAGAGTTGGCAAATGCTGATTAAATCGATGCTACCTCTGAAATAGAGTCCTAATTACCTACCTTAGTAATTACTTACTAAGTAGGCATTCATTAACTAAAGTCAACACGGTAATTGCTCAATCTCACCTGCTGTCTGTTGAACTCTGGGGGGAACTTCCTGTATCGACGGACAATCTTCTCGCCAATGTTCAGGTAGTAGTAGGACTTGGTGCCATTCAGATACTTGTCTCGGTAGCAAGAGAGGACCCGCTCAAACGGATGCCGAACCACCATAAACCGTGTCGTAGAGGATGACATCTGACAGGGACGGATAGTAGTTGTAGTAATCGTGGTGATGGTAGTGGTTGTGTTCATTGAGGAGATAATATGTTGGTGGTGAGGTGATGGTGGTAATGGTGGACTGGTGGTCATGTTGGTAATAGTGCTTAAGAGGGATAATGGTATGATTAAGGTTACTCACAATAAAGGTGATAATAATAATAATAATAATAATAATAATAATAATAATAATAATAATAATAATAATAATAATAATAATAATAATAATAATAATAATAACTATAATAATAATAATAATAATAATAATAATAATAATAATAATAATAATAATAATAATAATAATAATAATAATAATATAATAATAATAATAACTATAATAATAATAATAATAACTATAATAATAATAATAATAATAATAATAATAATAATAATAATAATAATAATAATAATAATAATAACTATAATAATAATAATAATAATAATAATAATAATAATAATAATAATAATAATAATAATAATAATAATAATAATAATAATAATAATAATAATAATAATAATAATAATAATAATAATAATAATAATAATAATAATAATAATAATAATAATAATAATAATAATAATAATAATAATAATAATAATAATAATAACTATAATAATAACATAATAATTTTTTGGCTTCGATTCCGCTAGTGTATCACGCTGTAGAGGTTCTCTGCAGTTTTCCGAATCGGAGAAAGAACTTTCGAGATCACGGAACGTTATCCCGGCACACTGGAATTCCCTAAACAATAAACAAAGAAAATCCACATACTATACCCCTGCTTCCTATTTTATATGTAATTTGAGTAAAGAAGGGCGTGAGAGCACATGTCAGCATCATCTATAAAGAGGAAGAAATCTTTTTTGCCCACCTCCCCACCGTGGTTTGTGGTCTATTAAGGGTTCATCTTTTTTCAGCTGAACTGTAAGTGTTCCACTCTGTTTTTGCTGGTGTGTGTTGTAGCAGTTAGGCTCGGCCGGTGGTTCCCCTGTTTTCTCTTTAAATGTTTTTATATCCTTGTTCTGACCGGTGGCACACTCGTTTGGGACAGCGATTTTGCCCTTGGCGTTTCTCGGTTAGGCTTACATATGTTTGCATGTAATTTTTATTGCATCTAGTTTGTCCTAAATTTCGTAGGTTCGGAGGATTTGGTAATGCTTGTGTGGAGACGGCATGTTGTCATGCCGTTTTTTGGTCAGACGCTTTTAGTGCTTCACCATTCAGCCCTACGCCAGTTTGTCTCGGTATGTAGCTTAGGCTTTAACTTTTGTTTGACTGTTTTTAAGGTACTCCCAGTCCTGCAATGTGGCCTGGAGTTTTGTCACCATCTCGGTCGAGAGGGATGGTTCTCCCTCCCGGGGAAAGTGGTGGCGTTTTTCCGGCTCTCCTCGATTTAGGAGGATTCGTCCGAGCCCGACTGGCAATTCGTTCGTTGGGCTGCCGATTCGTAGCGCCACTTAGGTTCGCGCTACGTTTCGTTCAGCGGTTCCCCGTTGCTTGGGTCGCTTTCATGTACGGTCTGGGCGCCCGCCCATTTTGACCGTTCCAGCTGAGGCTAAAAACAGTCTATAGAGCAGCCGATTCGTTGCGGGAACCGGCTCCTGCTATTTCTCCGAGCTCAGAGTCCTACATGGCCAGCGGTGGGTTTATTGGACTGGCGATTCATCGGGCTGGTGAATCGTTGGGCTGGCGACTCGTAGCATCCCTGTGGGTTTGAGCTAATTTTCGTTCAGCGGTCCCACATTGCTCGGGCCACTTTCCTTAAAAGTACCAAGCCATTTCGATCATCCCAGCAGAGAGTTGAAAATGTTTTACATGGCGGCTAAATCGTCAAGGGAACTGGTTCATTCTCGATCATACTGGACTGAGTGCTTCTTCATGGTCATACCTAACGACTTGCCTTATTATATCCCTTCGACTTTTCAACCACTCAGTTTAAGTGGAGAGACGTTCCCGAGCTGCCTAATTATAGTGCCCACGTCCTAGTCTCCTTCATGTATTTGTTTTACTAGGCAAGAGGGACGGTTATTTTGTAATGTGGAGTTTTTCCTCTTCCACATACAAAGATGGTCTCCCAGGGTACATCCTCTGACCCAGTGAACCGGTGTGAGAAAAGTGAATGCTCGGCCAAGTTCCATGAGGACGGTCATCGAGCTTGTACAGTACATGCTCCTTGCTCGCCATCAGGGGTCTTCACGCCGGAAGAATGTGGGGTATGCCAGGCCAGTATGTAGGAAATACTGCGGCAGAAAGTCAAGGACAGAAAGTCTCCAGGGTTCAATCACCTCAAGACTAGGTGGACCTCCACCCTGAAGTGGGCATCCAGGAAGGGCCGCTCACGAAAGTTGTGGGCGGACGCTGAGTTAGGGGTAAATCTGAGGATATCTCATTCCCGGAACAGCTCCATGTCGGAAAACTCCCGTCGTAACGAATCGTCTACGTCGACGACTTCACTTAGGAAACAAGAAAGGAAGGTGAGACCCTTAAAAGAAAATCCTCCTCTGTTGACCTCAGGTCCGGCCACGATAAATCTTCCACACCTGCATAGTCCTATTATTAACACTTCAGGGACCTGCCTTTCCTCCCTGTCAGGTGTCCCTCGCTCTTGGGTATACCGTCCTTAGGTGTCGGTTCACCAAGGTGTAATTTGCTGTTGGCAGTCCTTGCCACACAGTGTCCCTTCTTTTGACGTATATTCGCCGCCTTGGGAATCTTTGCCGCCGTGGAGATCGCCGCCTTGATGAACCTTCGCCGTCTTGGCGAGTCTTCGCCACCTTGGCATTTCATTGCCGCCTTGGTGAACCTTCGCCGCCATGGCTGGTGGAAACTTTGCCGCAATGGCGAATTTTCACAGCCTTTGCTCCTGGTGCTGCTTCCTCATCACCTTAGTACCAGGCTGTACTACTGTATGCACCCGAGAACAGGTGGCGAGAAGCTCTTTACTATCTGGCCTCTTATTCCGTGGGAACAACACATCAAAGTGAGAGAGCTTGTGGTTCCGTGGTTATACCTACGGCGACAGCCGCTGGTCTTGAACATCAGCATTTGCTTCTACATGGACAACCAGGTGGCTGTACACTGTATTAACCAATAAGGGTCATGCAGGTCACGGGGTCCCCTATGACTCTCAGAGAGCTCTTCTTCCTGGCTCATTGTCGCAATCTATCCTTCTTCACGAGGCATAGCCCAAGGGAGGCTGGTTCGTCAGCCGAATGGTCTCTTTACCCCCTAAGTAATCCAAAGTATGGTGAAAGAGTGGGGGAACTTCTTTGTTAGACGTGTTCGCATCTGTGACGAACACCCAGCTTCCCATCTTCCTCACCAGGGTGAGAGGGACCAGATGCGTTCACGGTGAACTGAAACAGGTGACCATTCGTATACCTATTTCCTCCGCCGACGACAAACGTGTTCCTGACGGTAATACACAGGTTGCACTAGTACCAAGGTAAAGCGCTGATCACCTCATTGTGGCGGGCTCAGCCATTGTACATGTCCCTCTCCAGACGGTGTCCCAACCCGACTCCGCTAAGACAAGACTGTTTACAGCAGACGAACTTAGAACAGAGAAATCCTTGAACTTACACGTGTGGGTTTTCTTAGGACCTCTCTAAAGATAAAGATGTTTCCCCGGGTGGTGGAGGGCATTATCTCATGGTTGCGACCTTCGTTGTTGCTCCAGCACCAGTCCTGCTGGCGAACGTCTCAATCGTTTATTCGTCAGTCTAAGCCCAATGTTATGGCAGAGGCGGAGGTATTGGACTTTCTGTCAATAATATTTCACGGAAAAGGACGCACCTTCGCGACCGTCACCTGTCACCAGGCGGCGATTGCAGATCCGATGCGGGACGAATGCGAAATTCGCCTACCATCCTGGTCGCAGGAGATATTGAAAAGAGGCTCTCCTGATCACTCCAGAGAGCCCTAGAGTATCTGCAAGGGTCAGACTTTACGACGAATCCGTCGTCAGCTAACCTATTCCACCGCGCCCTATTTCTGACTGCGCTGGCGTCAGGAGTTAGAGTCTCTCAGCGAACGGCGCTCACGCAGTTCCCGCAGTGGACCTGCTTTTGCCCTGAGGAAACCTTTGCCCAATCAATGGGGTGGCAGTTTTCACTCACGTGGACAAATAAAGCATTAGATGTTTGACAAGTTCTCTAAGAATATTTATGTTGACTAGTCCTTGATTTCAAGTCCATGCCTGTTTGCCCAATCTAAAAAGAGTTACTTTCTTTACAGGGAATTGCGTATATTGCACTGTTATCATTGTAGGGACTATTCTTAATCATCAGTTTTTTGCCTTGTTTTCATAGGAAAAACTGCTTTTACATCTTCAATTTTAGCAAAGGTACAAGATGTTGAAAGGCTTTGTGATATGGCAGGTACAGAATATTTCTGTGAAATATTTTATCATGTACATTGTTATCATAGTAAGTCTTTCTTGCTTTTATGTTACATTTGCTTAGAAAATGATACGGATAAAAAAATTTCTAACAATTACATATTTTTTTTCATATTCATCCTTCATAAATTCAGGGACAACAATACGCAAGGCCCAAAGGTACAAAGAAGAGAATATTGACTGTTTGATATGAAAATTGTTATCTGAGTGAAAATGTACATACGTCAAATTATTAGTTGGTTTTCTGAAAATACTCTACTCTGTCCTATGAATCATTATGTCTAAAAATGATAGCTTCCCATCTTCAAATCCTGAAGGAAATTTGATAGATGGCACCTTTTCATTCAACTTACCTAAAAATTCATTTACATCTGAGTAACAAAGCCAAATGCATAAAATGTCGCCGACATATCTATACCAGGGTATGTGACTGTGCTTGTTATGCTAAACACAAATTTCTTTTCGAAGAATTTGACAAGGGATTGCCCATAGCCATACCAAAAATCTGTTGCTCTCCTCTCCTCTCCTCTCCTCTCTCTCTCTCTGTATATATATATATATATATATATATATATATAT